CCATCCATCCATCCATCCATCCATCCATCCATCCATCCATCCATCCATCATCTTTACCCACTTCTTGCTTTCTGGGGTTGCGGGGGTCACTGGTGCCCATATCCAGCTGTCACTGTGTGAGAGGTGGGCATTTAAAGATGAATAACAAACATGACATTATGTGTGAGGGAGACAGACACCAACTTGTTCTTCATCTGACAGTACTGGTCCAAGTTTACAACCAGGTGTAAGTGTTGCACTTTAGATGAATGTTTGCCACTTCTGTAGAAGGGAGGATTTGCATACCTGTTATGTTCAGTGACACTGTCAAAGTGAAGTGGTGGCTGCACAAAGACAGCTGTGTGTGTGTGGAGGAGTACAATGACTCTACACAGGAGGCACTGCTTTGGTCAGGTCACTGAGCTGTGAATTCAAATGACTTAAAACAAAAGCCCTTCTCAGTCCATCACAAGTCAAATGTTTTATTGTCCTCAGTTGCTTCAGTGTGGCCACATCAATTATGGAAATACATAACAGAGACCCACTACACATTGTACATCGCAGGGTTTTTACCTTTTGGATAAATAAAGGAGCGTCTTCATGCAGATTTTGACATGAAATCAGATTTTGTTTGTATTTACAGCTGAACAAGTTCCCTTATCAGTGTGTTCATGTGTGCAGCAACTTCAGAGGAGTGATTTTTAGGACTTGGCATACAACTGGAACTGATTAAAACAGTGAAAATTAAGAGATCTCATAAGATTTATTCTGTACAAATCCACACGGATGATGACGATGAAAGCACGCTGGCTGGTGAGGCCATGAAGCCGTCACACCAGTGTGGACACCATGCCGGTGTTGAGGTGGTGGGTGTAGGGTAAGCTGCTGGAGGGGTGCAGGGCCGACGGTGTAGGGATGAGGTGCGGGGTGTGGCTGTAGGTCAGCAGAGTCCCGGGGCCGAGGGAAAAGTGCCCGCTGGTGTCGTCCAGGGGAAGAGGCTGAGCCACCTCTGAGTACTGCTCAAACATGGCCGCCTTCTTGCTTTTCTTGTTCTTGCTGGAGACCTTCCTGTTGCGTGTTTGAATGCCTTCTTTCTTCATGGTGAGGGGCCGGTTGACCTGAGAAAAGATTAAAAGCATTTTAGTTTAACAAACCAAACATATGACTTTATTTAAACAAATCCCACAGAGAGACTCACGTTGTGCAGTTTAAAGTAGAGGCCGCAGGCGTTGCACACGGGCTCCCCGTTAGTGTTGCGTCGCCACAGAGTCGTCGTGCTTGTGTGACAGTTGGCACACACGGTCCCTGCACGCTTACTGACGATCTGAAACACAACCAAATGAACGTTTCCCAGTGAATGCAGCCATCACTCCTCAAAGGGTTGCCCCCCCCCCCCCCCCATCTTGGCTGCTAAAGCTTTAAGCAAAGCCGTTTGATCATGGCGCTCGAGTTACGTTTTAGGGATGACTCTCAGTTACTACCACTCCAAATTTCAACTCAAAATCTATAAAACTGACTGAGCTATCACCATGTTTGTGTTTGCTATTGTGAGTTATTTTGCTAACAGGCAGCCAAATGAGCACACATAGGCAAGGTTCATCTCTGTGTGTCGTACCAGTCTCTTCTTGGGTCGGATCAGGGGTCTGTTTTGACCGTTCATCTTGTGGTACAGTCCACAGGCGTTACACAGGTAGTGGCCCGTCCCGTCCCGGCGCCACAGAGGGGTCGCCGTGGCTCCACAGTTCACACACTCCCTGGCCTCTGCCGACCAAACAAGCAAACAACAACAGTTATTGAAGGATTTTGTTTTAATAAGTTTGACTTCATGAAAAAAAAATAACTGGACACAAGTTTTGTGCAGAAAAAAATGAATGCATGATTGTTTTGTGATGTAGTTTTGACTTTCTCTAAATTTACCTTCAGATGCTCAGCTGTTATGTAAGGTAGAATGTTTATGAGCACTGAGAGCCCCGTAAGAATAACCTTAAATAAAAAAAATAGCTTTCACAAGTTATACTTTTCCCAGATATGTTTTTGTTATATGTATAAGTTATTAACCAGCATATTTGCATCTGTTAAGATGGATGATTGTGTTAAAGGCTCCAGAACTTCAACCAGATGTTGCTTACACTCTAAACTTTTTGTCTCAAAGAGTCAGAACTGACTGTGACACTTGTGTACTGAACAGGAAATGGTGCCCCCACCACCACCACTACCACCACAGCGGACCCTCACCTGGAGTGGTTGCCCTCATCTTGTTCCGGATTGTGGGAGAATACGAGGGGCTGATCCATGCTCCGGCCCCGGAGTAGAGCGCAGCGGAGCTGTAGTCCTGCGGCCCGCTCATGTACGAGCTATAGGGGCTCAACATGTGTGGATGGGTGTGTGACGAGGGGGTGTACATCCCCCCAGCTGCAGGGGTCAGGTTCAGAAAGCTGCTGCCGGCCCCGGACCCTCCCAGTGGGCTCAGCCGCTCTGCTTTAAGGGCCTCCTGCAGACGGGGACTCTCCCTGCCCTCTCTGCCAGGAGATGATGAGTACCCGTCCCTGGAGGTGGTGAAAGAGGAGGTGACCCCGGGGGTGTAGAGGGAGGTGGGTGTGTGTGAGTGCAGTGGGGTCTTGGCGAGGGGGCTGCTGCTCCAGGTGGAGGCTGCGGGGCTGTAGGGCAAGCTCAGGGAGTGGCTGGGCGGCCCGTCCAGGAGCTGGAGGTTGCTGAGGAGGCCAGGTGAGGTGAACACCTGTCGGACTTCAGAAAAAGGAAAGCGAGATGATCAGGCTGCGGCTGCGAGGAGGGAGGTGACTGTTGGTGCTGGCACTCACCCGAGCTGTGCCTGTAGCTGGATGGTGCCCGGCTGTGGCTGGGGCTGGAGAAGAAGCCCGGCAGGCTGGAGAAGTCTGTGTCTTGTACGGAGAAGAAGGCCTCGCCATCTTCACCAGGAGGCAACAGGCCGGAGTCAGAGGAGAAACCAGCCAGAGGGTCTGAGCCGAGCAGGGAGGGGGACACCCAGTGGGACTGCTCGGATGGATCGTCCATGTCAGCAGGGGAAGTCTCTGAGGAAAAGAAAGAACATGTAAAACATGCTTTATTTTATTTTTCATTTCCCGTGTGTGCAGCTCAGATGAGACGTGGAGGCTCTGACTTTGATTGCAGATGTATCACTCCGCTCCTCACCACACAACAAGTGTTAACTTGAAGTTATCAGGGACGAGATATCTCGATAGCAGGCCTTTTTCGAACTTCCTTTTCTAGGATCCTCATTTGACTGTGGCTGAAAGTAACAACTAAAAATAACTGGCACTTTAAATGTGGTGATGCAGCCAGTGACCGACGGTTACTAAGTGGCCTTAACGCCATAGGTGTGCCAGTTAGAGGTATGCTAAAAATATGCCCTGAGGGACGCCCAAAATGTTGAAAAACACTCGAGCACAGAAACTGAGCACTGGCTGGCAGACTTCTTTAATGTGAGGGTTATAATCCTTTAAAATGAAGTCAGATTTTCACAACAGTGAACTTGAACTGAATAAATGATTCATGTTCATCCCAAGTCATGAGTCAATATTCAAAACTGCTGCTCTAAAAGACAAACTTTGGCGTAAATAGCTGCAAAGGTCACAGCCTCTCAGTGTCTTTACAGGAAAGAGAAGAGGAACGACAGGTGGCTGATAGTATCTGATAAAGTGTGAGAAAATCAGATACAGCTTTAATATAATTCTAATTATGTCCAGTTTTACTGATACATCTGCGCACGAATCTCATCTGATGAATAGAAATCTGACAGGAGTGGAAAACAAACGCGGGGACGAGGTGAGGGTGAGACGGCACGTCGTGGACGGTCAAACGAGACACACAACACGGCTGGCGAACTGAAATGACAACGCCTTGTAAGATTGTCTTATTGCAGTTTCATTTTATTTAATGAAAGGATTTCAAGAGTTTACCCTGAACTGGGTTTTGTTGATTTCAAATTGTATTTCAGATTTTTAACGTAACAAAAGAGAAAGTGTCTTGCTTCTTTGTAAATCAACGACTGGCTAACACAATGAATGTTTTCAAATGAAAAGTACTGAAAGAGTCAGCTGGTTAAGAAGTAGTGTTCACTGAGCTGGAAACGGATGAACGTATAAGTCACGGTCAAAGGCCTGAGGCAGCCAGACTCCCCACCAGTGAAAGTTTTTACACCAGTCCAACACTAATAACCATTTCTGCAGCAGGCGTAGAATATCCTGGTGTCTCCTGCAGGACGATGAGGAGACAAAGAGAAGAGCACCTACCTGAGCTGATGCCCCACGGGAGCCGTGCACCTTGGGGTCAGATTTACAGGAGCAGGTGGAAGGTGGCCCAGTTCGACGGCGTGACTGTCTCAGAGCGGGCCGATGGTTACAAGTGCAACTTCTTCAACCACTAGCAAAGTTTAGGAGTACGAGACAGGCCGTGGGAGGGGAGGGGTTGGAGACAACTTTGTGAAAGACACACCTCTTCGGTCCACAGAGAGAGAAATAATTTGCAGGATGTTACATATTTACAACTCTGAATTAAAAATAAAATCACATTTAATGGTGTCATTTACTGACAAAATGCACCTAACTGGAGTCTTATCTAAGGTGTGTGGTGTTGGTGAAGAGGTGAAGGAGCTTTGAGTCTTAGCTCCTCCACTCGTCCGTCTTGTCTGTGAGCTGCTGGTGTCCTATTGATAACAATTTTAATAAATTCCTCAGAGGATGCACCACAAAAAAAATCCTATCAGCAACCAAGCCATGGCTGCTATCAGCTGTCAGATGATGGACAAAAACACTGGAGGAGATAATCTGACTTTATTTATGCTGCACAGATGTTCACATGAACGCAGCAGCCTGCTGGAAGCTTTTCCTTTCCGTCTGTTGATGAAATGTGCATACAGCCCCTGATAAGAGCAGGCCCACGCGGAGAGGACAGTGGCAGACGTTTAAACAAAGCAAAGGTAAAATGCAAAGACTCCATTTCTTTGTGGTCCAGCAAAGCTTGGAGTGGAACGCAGTAATGCAAATCTGGAGCGGAGCAGCAATCGTGGGGGAGAGATACGGCCTGGACACGGCCTGGCAGCGCACAAGCCCAACGCTGTCCCGGTCATTTGGTAGTCAAAGCAGCTCCCCAACTTTCCTCTCTCTTTGTTCATTTACAGTTTTCAGGGAAATCAGGAGAGAGAAACAGTTAGGACAATTGATATTATTTAATGTCGCACTAAGCTTGATTTTTTTTCCAGCCGTTTAATAAACAGCAGCTGCAGATAAACTGCATCAGTTAGGAAGATGCAAATCAAAGCCGAGGCTAAATGAATCTCCTTTCACCCTTTTTGACTCTGAATTCAGGTGTTCAAGCAGAAAATTGCTCATCGTGGGGACAAAACAAACAAACTGATGTAAGTGCTGGAGGTTGATGAGTTTAACCGAACTGAGACACTCAGAGTAGGAGTGAAGCTCCTGCAGGTGATGGACATCATCTCAGCTTTGCTTAGTGGAGACCAGGTGTGGATAAAACCTGTTCAGCTGTAAAATTAAAAACCATAAAGCAAACCCTGTCAACAGAAAAACATAAGGTTCTAACATTTGGAGCACATGAAGCAGCAAAATATTACGACAAAGCAGCAGAAAGGTCTAATGTAGTTTGTTGCTGTGGTGCGTTCGGAGCTTGCAGGTTTAAGGTGGCGTGCACTGCCAGGTAGGCCGGCGCCTCCACTGACCCTGGGGTGAAAAGTTCAAACACTGTGTCATAAGACGATCGTCTTTTTGGCTCTGAGCTCTTTAAAGCTGCTTTCTGTTTGAGTGAAAACGAGCAGAGCTGCTCCTCGACTCACTAAGCTGCTCTGTAACAAGATGGAGGTCGGTGTGGACGGTCGGGCAGGGATGTGGCGGCTGCCGCTGTGTGAGCGGCCTGCGCTGCCCTGATAAGGCCTTATCAAGATGAGAGCAGTAGGCCAGGAATTACAGGCCCGCTGCTGGCTGTCATACAGCAACACACACAGACGGTAGGCTCGGACCTACAGGACTCAGACCAGCCTGACACACACACATGCACATCTGCTGGTTGTGTTTCCTCTCCACCATGTGGAGCTGGCTCTACAGTGTGCAGCTGGACAGTTGGGAGGATGTTGAGCCAGTTGGAGCTCGGTGACGGACGACATTCTGTGTCACCAGTGGACTTTGAGGGCAGCCTTCAAATTCCCAAGAAACAGACTTCTGTGAAGGCGGTGCTCTTATCTCGTCTGTGCAGAGCTGCAGTAACACACACACACACACACACACACACAGTCCCCACCATCACTACATTTTTAGCGTGTAGTTATCTGTCAGGGCTGTTCTTGGCACTCGAGTTGGTCTGCAGGTGATGTTTGTGCAGCAGAGGTGTTTGGACTGTGTCTGTGCGTGTCTGACTACTTGTAATTTCTGGACAATTGAGCGCACCTGAACATAAGCGGCGCCCGCTAAATGTAAAAAGAAAATTTAAATTTTACATAAATAGGCCGCGCTTGTCTGTAAGCCGTGCGTGTTGACGTTGTAACATGAGATATTTACACAGAAAGATTTTTTAAAAACTTTTAATTAAACATGTACCGTAACACGCATAAATATAGTAAATGTTTTTTTTTTATCAGTGCCAGTAAAACAGCTGATTTAAAATAAAATAAAATATATATATATATATATACAGTATTCTACCAGGAAGTCATTGATCGCTATCCCCCCAAGACGTGCAGCTATGTAAGAGCCTGGGTGTGACGAAGCTAAATGTTTTGGTGGCATGAAGCTCGTTAGCCCATCAAATAAATAAATAAATAAATAAATAAATCCATAAATTAGCCGCAGCATTGTATAAGCCGCTGTGTTCAAAGCGTGTGAAAAAAGTAGAGGCTTACAGTCCAGAAATTACAGTAATAAAGTTTTTACATCTCAGACCCGAGAGGTTCAACATGATGCAGTTCTTGTAAGAATGAAATAATTCCTAATTTTTCTGTTTCTAATCTTTCACATTGGTTTGTTGTGTCAGCTGTTTGATTTTTATGACACACTGCCAAAGATGAAACGACAACATTGTTGTCTGCCTCTGTTTGTCTGTAATGTTAGCAAAATATCTCATGAACCGCTGGACAAATCTTGATAAAACTCTCAGAAAATAACCACCGAGTGAACATCTACAACTGATTAACTCCACCAAGATGGCCGCCACCGCTAAGCAACCTTGTCAAACACAAAAATGGCCACAACTCAGCCGGTTTTACAGATGATGGACTGAAATTTGGTGTGCTAGTCGCTGAGAGTCATCCAGAACATGCAGTCTGAGCACTGCATGCGATTGCTCATGTTTTTACATCTATAACTTTATTCCCTTTTATTATTAAATGAACTTAGTCTAAAAGTTAATGCTGTAAGTGTTCTCTAAATAAGCATTTTGTACACACCTCTCTAACCTCTAGTGTTGATGCAGGATATTTCATTTTACTTTATATCTTGTTAAACTGTGTACTTTGATTGATCAGAATAATTAAAAACATCACAGCTAAAGCTTTTTTTCAGTCAGTGACATTTTAAATTGGTTTCCTCTCTGTTTGTGACTCTAATTTAAAGGTTTGACAAAAAGTAGAAATAAAAATGATGTCTGTCATTTGTAAATGGTAAATGGACTGTACTTATACAGCACCTTTCTGTCTTATTTCAAGATACTCAAAGCGCTTTACAACACAATCTGTGCCTCATTTACCCATTCATACAGCACTCTACTAGATCTCTACAAAGAATAATTGAACAAATCATTCTAAAGAGACTAATCAGAGCTTTAGATCACATTCATACACTGATGGGACACACATCAGAGACTATGAGGGGTTCATAGTCTTGCCCAGGGACACTTCAGCATGTGATGGTGGATTTGAACCCCCAACTCTTGCATTGGAGGACGACTGCTGCCTGCAGCCAGCAGCGGGCCTGTAACTCCAGCCACAGCCGCCCATCATGAGACATCATCTCATTTGTCCACGAGATGATGTCGGTCTGAAACTCGCATGCTGGGCCTTTTATTCATTCTGCTGAGAGGCGCTTCAGAGGATCTGGTGGATCACAGCTGGAAACTGCTTCCTTGTAATATTTAAACTGTGAAAACTATGAAGCAGAAATAAAATAAAATATTGTCTAACCAGGTCCTTGCTTGTATACTGTTTCTTTTTTTATATTTTTGCTATTTTTTGGGTATAACTGGGACCTTGAGTACACAATTTTGTTCCACCTCATGTACCACATGTGATGGGAACGACAGGAAAGAACCTTGAACTTTGTTGTTTAACTTGTTCTTATTTAAATAAAATGAAAACCTTACATCCAACAATTATCCCAAAATTAATTATTTTATTTGCTACCAGTTCGTGTTTTAGTAAATGTTGCCACCTCTCGTTCACCTGTAAATCAGGTGAAATGTCCACCAGAAGCAGACTGGGGGCACCCGGGGGTCAGCTGAAGCGTCTACTGCCCTCTAGTGGCTAAAAACATGAATACATGTATTTTCCACCTGATTACAGTTTGAACGTGTCCGAAGACAAATGTAATAAAACAAATTGTCCTGTGAATTTGAAAATAAAAACAAATCAACTCTGACCTATTATCTGGATTTAAATAATAATAATAATTAAGACAATTACAGCAACACAAGTTGTCTCGTGTGTTTTATATTACTAAATTATACTATAATGTCTTTCTGGTTACGTGTTGTTATTTTTTAGGAGTTACTTTTCCGTAGCTTTTTTTGTTTGTTCTGATTTAAAAAAAGGCACGAGCTCAGCTGTGAGTCAACAGGTGTGCCGCCAAATGATGCGTTCAAGAGTATCGGACAATGCAACGTTGTTGCGAGAGTTGCTGAGGAAAGAGAATTTAAATTTGAAAAGTTCATCAAAATGCAAAACGTTTTTAGCTGGGAAAACCTTCAGAGACTGGTTGAAAAGTGGATGTTTCAGTCAAGTTAACCGTGTGACGTGAAAGTTACCATTTAAATTAAGTTTTAATAACACCTTTTCAATGAACGCTGTTAGTTTGAGTTGTTCAAAGAAAGTAAATATATTTTAAGTATGAGTTCTCAAATACAGCTGAAGCATACAAAATGGATATTAGTGTCTTAAAACTACTCCAAGTCTTCAACGTTTTCATCATGCAAACATTGATATTAAAATATTTCCGCTGTTCAATTCAGTTTATTTATAAAGCACCATGTCTCAACAAAAGTTGTCTCAGGGCACTGAACGGAAACATTCACATACATAAAAAGTGAGTTATTAAAGTTCTCTGTTTAAGGAAGTGGCAGATTGTGTTGAATATTCACTTCGTCACAGTCTCCCATCCTGAGCAAGCACAATGGCAACAGTGGGAAGGAAAAACTCCCTCATAACAGGAAGTAACCTCCAGCAGAACCAGACTCAGGACAAGCGGCCATCTGCTTTGACTGACTGGGTTAGAGAGGACAGGAAGGAGGAACAAACACAGAATGGGAGGTCACTTTCTATAGGAGGAAAGACAAAACCACATGTTGATTTAAATAATTACAAATACAAACAGGAAGAGTAGAGCAAGTAAAGACAGCAGCAGATTGAAGAAACGTCAATTTGTCATCCAGTAGTCTAAGCCTATAGCAGCATAACTAAAGGATAGCTCAGGAAACCCAAACCAACCCTAACTATAGGATTTATCAAAAGTAAAGTCTTAATCCCAGTCTTAAAACTGGACAATGTGTCAGCCTCATGGACATAAACTGGAAGTTGTTTCCACAAGAGAGGAGCCTGATAACTGAAAGATCTTCCTCCCATTCTGCTTTTGGAAACTCTAGGAACCACAAATAAACCTGCAGTCTGAAAGTGAAGTGCTTTGTTAGGAAAATATGGAACAATAATATCTGTAATATAAGCTGGAGCTATGTTGTTGAGATCTTTGTAGGTTAGAATAATGACTGTTGTGAATTTAACAGTTTTTATTTATTATTATTTCATGTCAGATGTAACCCAGGCTGCACAGAGTCACAGTTAGATGCCCTTGCTGATATTTCTGTAAAAAAACAAAAAATAAACACAAAAACTTACTTAAATAACCTCTTTATGTCAAATCTACGGCATAATGAATGAAATTGTTATGTTAGCGTTAACTGCTATGACAATTTAGACATTGCTTTTAGGACAAATGTAATCCACTTTGGTCTTGATTGGTTAGAACCAGGGTTGCCAGATAGAAATTGATAAAATATAGTTATGCTTTAAAAGTATTCTATATTGACACACTATAGCCTACTATACTGTTTATATTGTTTGTGCGGTGCAGAAATATGAAAGTCTGGCTGGTTCAAACTGACTTTCTGATAAACTGTGTTTTCACCTGAATAAACAATAAGGGGTTCTCTGGTACACAGAAATGCCCAAACTATCTCATATTTGGGCTTTTTTAAAATGATTTATTGTTTATCAAATAGACCCAACAATCATTGCACAAATAAAACAATTATCATAGCCTATGTCTCAGGGCACTTGTGTGGCGGCTGTGGCTGAGTGGTTAGAGCAGTCGTCCTCCCATGCAAGAGTTGGGGGTTCAAATCCACCAGCAGTCACATGCTGACATGTCCCTGAGCAAGACACTGAACACCTCATAGCCTCTGATGTGTGTCCCATCGGTGTATGAATGTGATCAAGCTCTGATTAGTCTCTTTAGAATGATTTGTTCAATTAGCTTTGTAGAGATCTAGTAGAGTGCTGTATGAATGGGTAAATGAGGACACAGATTGTAGTGTAAAGCTCGTTGAGTATCTTGAAATAAGATAGAAAGGCGCTATATAAGTACAGACCATTTATATCTGGCAACACTGATTAGGTAGTATTTAGCTCATCAGTCCTGTTTTCATTCAATCTTTATTTATACAGGTTATTCTCAATGAACCATGAGGACTCGTTTACAAGAGAGACCTGTTTTAAACAAAGAACACAGATGAGGTACAAACAATAGATGATCATATTAAAAAAGTATAAATGAAAAAATAAATAGAAGAAATGAAATAATAACGAAACAAAAACAGCTAGATAATAAAGCTGTTGGACGTAAACTCTGTTTCTCCAAACCAAGTTCATTCAAAGAGCTGAGATCAAAACATGAACTGTTCCCAACTTTACACTGAACACCGCTTCAAAATGGCTGGAATACCACTTTAATGGCCTGATCATTGACTTCCAGTTGTTTCAGAATGAAGCTGCAACAAGCTAGAGATTTCCGGGGAGCACCTGAAGGCATCACCAGCTGAAGCTCGGGAGGACAGAATCTGTCCTCAGCTCCGGTGGACATGAGTGAAGACAAGCGTCCTGTCACCCTGAAAATCATCCTCATAGGAAACTCTGGGTAACTTTACACCCTGTACTCTGACAGTTTGTTCTAGGTCGCTGTTGGACACTTTCACTTTCTCTTGTACCTGTGGACACAAGTGGACATGTCCCGAAAAGACATTTAGGTGTATGTTTCCACCTTTGATGTTTTGTTGTGCTTGAAATGAACGTTTGATTGTCTGTTTTAAAGGCTTAGCTTGTGTGACGGTGTGCGTGTGCGTGTGTGTGTTTGCTCAGTGTGGGAAAATCCTCCATCATGAACAGATATGTGAACCATCGTTTCACCAACATGTACCGAGCCACAGTTGGGACGGACTTCCTCTCCAAATCTGTCCACATAGATGGAGACTGGGTGAGCCTGCAGGTGCGTCCTCCTCAGAGACTGGAGCAGCAGAAGCAGACTCTCAGGTTGTAACTGGGAATGTGTGTGTTTGGGCGCAGATCTGGGACACGGCAGGCACAGAGAGGTTCCAGTCTCTGGGAACCCCTCTGTACAGAGGAAGCCACTGCTGCCTGTTGGTGTTTGACGTCACCTCCACCGCCACCTTCAGCGCCCTGGATGTGTGGAGGAAGGAGTTTCTGGTCCAGGGTGAACCTGAGGATCCATCCAACTTCCCTTTTCTTGTACTGGGAAACAAAACGGACCTGGGTAACAGAGAGGTGAGTGGACCAGTGGTGTGGTGGGTCTATGTGATACGCTGGTATACAGCGTCCCACTAGAAAAGCTTGGGAATTTTCGTACCCACTTATAATAATAATAATAATAATGTCATCACAATGTCAGCACTGTATGTTTCCATACAATGGCGAAATTAGTCTCTGCATTTAACCCATCCATAAGTGCCCGATGATACGTAATGTGACACGTATTGATACGTTAAACCTTTTCATAGCTTTCTGTATTCCTTATTACATTCACTTGTAAGGACCAGTGCAACTCTTCACTGCTCCTCTCCGTTGCTCTGGTAAAACCCAAGGCCTCAGTCCTCAGATTTGCTCTGAGCTGCAGGACTCATCATCATCTCAACTATCTACTAAAATGATCCAGTAGATGTAGGGGCCCTGTGTCAGAGTCTAGTATTGATTATTAGTTCAACTACTAAGTTGACAAATATAAAAATACAGTGCACCAGTTCTCAGTCCTGCCGAAGTCTTTTGGATTAAAGACGAAACGTTTCATTGTATTTTCTTGAATCCGTCCAGAGAACCTGTTACATTTTTCTACCTGGATTATTGCACATGCGTCAGGACAGTGCACCAGTGGTTTGCACACATGCCTGTTGTTTCCAGCCGAAGCACTTGAACAGGTTCTTCGAGCTGTGTTTGCTAAAGCAATTAAGGCAACATTCTGAGACGCGACGGTAGTTAGCCTAAACTATCTACAGTTTCTTCCCAGTGAACAAAAATAATAGAATCTTTTTCAGGAAAATAAAAGTCCTACATTTAATATGGGAGAACTCAGGGCAGAACGGACGTTGAGCTCCCAGCGGTCAGAGCCTCCATGTGTGACGTTACACCTAAACATGTTTTTACCCTCAAGCGTCTGTGCCCACTTACATTTTTAAACAGTATCCGATGATGAGCAGGACTGTGGCACCTGGCTGATATGTTCATGTTGTTGCTGTCTGTGCAGCCAAAAGCCTGATTTCCTTTTATCAGGGTCAAAAGTAATTAATAATAATCTCTGTATGAACAAGAAACAGTGCTGGAGTGTCCCAAAAGGAGTTTAATCCTGTGTAGCTGAAATATTTTATTGTAATAAAGTCTTTGGGAAGCAAAGGTGCAGAACGTGCTGCAGCACCCTTTGGGTGGCAGAGGACATGCAATGTCCAAATACAGTAGTCCCTCGCTACTCGCGGTCCGTTTATCGCAGATTTGCTCTGTCGCGGTTTTTCAAAATAAGATTGGACATGACACGCAGTTGGATGGTTGATGGATGAGCCGCACGATCGGCATTACATTTGTATTTAAATTAAGTTATTTTAAATTATTTAGCACCTGCTGCACCTTCTGTGCAGCCCATACTGCAGGATAAACATCCTGCTGCAGCTGATCACTGTGCAGGGCGGAGAAGTGGGCGTGGCCAAGAGCACTTACAGGTGGCAAAGAGCAGAGGAGGCAGAGTGCTGAAATCATGACATGCTGTGAACTTTTAGAAACATTGTTTAGAATATTGCAAGTGTGGGAAGGGTTTAAAACACCTTCACATATAATAAAAATAAACTACTTGTACTACTTCGTGGCTTTTCACTTATTGCGAGTCTTCAGGGTACGGATCCCCCACGATAAACGAGAGACTACTGTGTATAAAACATTCATGAAGACAAACAAGATTGTGGCCTGGACTCACCTCACTGCAATCTTTATTCCGTCTTTTAAAAACGTTTCCTCTGCAGGTGTCTCGCAGAAAGGCCCAGCAGTGGTGCGAGGAAATAGGAGCAGAGTACTTTGAAGGAAGCGCCAAAGAGGACGTGGACATGGAGAAGCCCTTCGTGAGGGCGGCGGAGCGAGGCCTGCAGGAGGTAAAGTGACGAGCGAGGCAGCACTTCTGTTTAACATGTTTATTTTTTGATGATAAAAGATACATTACTCCCTACAGTACAAAAAACACACATTGGAAAATACAGGACATTTCCAGATAACCTGCGAACAGCCGAGAGGAACTCCTCGTAACACCTGCGAGTGCTGAGGGGAGCACTCGTCCCGGTGTGGGGGGAGGAGGGGGTTCAGACCTCGGCACTGCTGATGATGACCTATCTAACAAGGGTGCAAAAATAGTGACCCAGCAAAGGTACTGTGGAAGGAAAGGACACAATTGTATACCACATGGAGAGAAGAACAAACTCATTAAATGTTTTTTTTTCCTTTTCAGTTTTTTTTCTTGAGAACCTTCAGCTTATGGTCTAACTTAAGGCATCACTACTAAAATACACTGCTTTTGCATGCATGTCTAGTTTTGTTCAACAGACACACCGACACGCACAAAATCATGAATGCATAAGATAAAGGTTTGTTTCTAGAAAGAAATCAGGAGAAGTCCCAAACTGAACCCAAGGCGCGAGCCGGAGAAACGGCGGCACGCAGAAAAAAACAAATAAAATAATAATTAAAAAACAAAAACCTCGGCTCCGCTGTTTCCAGCCGTTTCTCCATCGCGACACAATCTGCCCTGACAAACACCATTTACACTCATGTCTCGTCACAAACCTCCTCCCTGTACAACTGGACTGTAATGGACCTAGCAGTGAGTCAGACTCCTACAGTGAATCAGCTCGACAGAAGCAAATCAGAACAATCAGGGAGACTATATATATATCATATATATATTTGATTCTTTTATAAGTAAAGACACAAAAGGCAATCCAGAGATGACCAACATGTAAAAACTGTTTGTTACAGGTAATTATATAAAAGGCCGAGATGTTTTTTTTTTTTTTTTTTAATTTTTTTGTCTTTTATTCTTGCTCTATGAACGAACTAATTTACAAGTGAGTACACTCCGGCTCTCTTTTCCCCCCAGACTTCCCTGTTCAAAGACAAAAGTGTTTACATGTCACAGTTAGCTTGCACACCATCTGAAATACAGAGCTGTGGAAGAAAAGAAAAGGTTTAATAAATGGATTCCCATACATCAATATGGTGGGGGTGGGGGGGTTAAGTCTACTAATATAATTTGCCATTCTAAAAATGAAAGATTCACGAGCATAAAAAGCGCAGAACTGATGGAGGGTGTGAGGAGGAAAGGTATAAAAAGATCTCGTGACGACTTTCCTCGTGCCCCGGGAAATTCTGTTTGGCAAACAAAGCAACACAAGCATTTTAAAGAAAAAAAAAAAAAAAATCCTCTCCTCTCCTTGGGTCCACTTCAAGTTCCCTTCAGTCCTATAACCTCTGCGGCTCGACTTGGAACTAAAGTCCGCCCGCTGTTCGTTGCCATTTGATAACAAGAACATTCAACTGAATGGGTTTTAAAAAATACAGTGGCAACCCGTCGTCTTCCCATGAACACAAACTACAGGGGTAAACAGTTAAAAAGGTGTTTTGTTAAAAAGCACACAACATAGATACACACAGGAGGGGTGGAAAAGAAAAAAAAGCTTTAAAATACAAAAATAAACTACACAAAAGATTTCCTGCTGCAGCTAATTTTTTGGGAAGGTTTTGGAGATTTTTTTTTTCATCTTTTTTTTTTTTTTAAATGTGTGATGCAAGTCTCTGTCCCAGCAAAGTCCGTCATTTCCTTCTCAACATTTTCCTTCGCCGCTCTTTCCTCCCCCCCCCCCCCCCCCCCTCGTCCGCTCCGACGCGTCGGCCACCAGTCGTCATCTCGGGGTAAAAAGCGCACAGTGATTCTATTAGCAGGAGACTGGAGTCCATTACGATGACTGTACAGAGTTGGTTCTCGATGAAGAAAATTTCAGCCAAAAGAAAAAGGAATAAAGAAAATGATGTCCTCGTTCGTGGAGGACAAGTGCTTTATTTGTTTCCATACCGATTTTTTCCTCTCCTCTAAACTAATGCCTCCGCAGCCGTTTTCAACACTGTACAACATTTCATGTAGTCTCTCTCTACGTTCCCCCAGAATTCACAAAACAGGAAAAAAGAAGACAACATTGCGCTCAGGCAGGCTCCCAGTTTGTGGAAAGTGTAAATACTTCTAGATATTGTTCAACTACTTGAAACAAGCCAAAAAAAAAAAAAAAAAAAAAAATAGATGTTAAAAATATGGATGGGGGTGCGACTGAAAAAGATAATGTGCTTCTAGGTTTGTGTTGCTCTAAAAATATCACGACCAAGGAAACAAGGAGAGGAAAGAAGGGTTTTATCTACAGAAACATCTCAGATGGACTTTCATCTCGGCTTCATGTTGGTGTTCTGCCTTTGTTGCCGTCTTGATCTGAGACGTGGGGGTGGAGGATGAGATTAGGAGGAGGATGAGGAGGAGCGAAGCTCAGTCTTCCTGATAAAAAGGACAGTGGAAAAAAAAAAAAAAAAACCAAGACTGGGACTCTCTGGGCAGCCTCACTGGTCTGTTCTTGCTTTCTTTGGACCAGGCTTACTGCAGAAGGACATAAAACCAGAGTTAAGCATTTCATGTGCGAGCGAGAGGATCGGCTCCTCTTCAGTCTGTGCGTGCAACGTGAAACACAAGTACTGTACTCACGTATCAGGGGAGGTGCCTGGTCTTTTAGGAGCAAGTTTTGCAGAAGCAGCATCTTTCCCAGATTCTATAAAGTACAGCAACAGTTAGAACGACTTCAGGAATTTGAAAATTACTTTTACACAACACGAGTCTGCGTGCTCACCCTGAAGCCATCGAACTTGGGTAGCAGGGCCGTAGCCCTTCTCGTTGCGAGCGGCGATGCGGAAGATGATAGCTGGCTTAGTGGTGTAGTCGATGTGAGCGTTGGAGAGGCTGGCCGACTGCACCAAGCAAGACGGGTTGGGTCCACAATACACCCGCATGAAGGCTAGCTGTGCCGGGGTGGACGCCTTGGCCTCTGTTGTCTGGTTGCTCTGGATGGCCAGGTACACGGAGTACTCAATGATTTTTCCTGACGTCACAGAGGGAGGCTCCCAGGTCAGGTGGGCACCATCTGGACTCTAAGTATGATGACAGTGAGCAGATATATTCATGGATTTGTGCTCATGATTAGGAACGTTTCATGTTGAGCACCAAACCCAACTTGTAAACTGGATTCCAGCTGTATGTACCTTGCTGATTTTGATGGCACATGGCGCCCCTGGAAAACCTGGTAGGCAAGTCTTGAAAGCAGAAATTTCAGAGAAAGTCCCACGGCCACAAGCGTTGATTCCTGCAACACGGAACTTGTAGGCCGTGCCCGGCTGCAGCTCCATTTTCTTCATCTGACTGTAATCTGGTATGATGCCAGAGTCGTCCTGCTCAAGAGCAAAAACGGTTGAAGGCGACAAACGCAACACCACACAGACATGAACAACAAACAACCCCCCACATTAGACACTTACGTCTCCCTGGGAATCATCTGCTGGCACGTAGAAGTGAGTGACAACCATGTTTGTCACTTTTACAATTCCAACATCAAACCACTGGTTCTCCTTTTTAACAACAGGCTTTACTGGAGTTGGCTGAGGGGCCTGCTTCTAAATACACACAAAAGTCCAAAGAATTGGTCAAATATTTAGTCTTCTTGCCACTCTTTGCTCTAATCGAACCAATAAACTATCAATAATACAATCACTCACCTCTCCCTCGATGCCATTAGCAACCTCTGCAAGAGTGGCTGCTGCTTGCAGCTTGGCTGGACTTGCTACCGATACAGATGGTGCAAATGTACTTGATGGAGCCAGTGCTGGGTTTAAAAAGAAACAAGTTAGATACCCAGGTGCACAAAACCTCTCTAAACAAACAAAACCAACTTACTCTCTGCGGTGGTACGTGGTAGGAGAGATGCCACAGCACTAGTGACAGAGGCAGCCATTTCATTATGTCCGTTGCTTTCAACAGACGGATCGTTGAGGCTGTCGGCGGGTGCGAGGCCCTCGGTGGGTAAGCTGGTATCTACTGAGGCCTGCTGGGCCGCAGCCTGGGCCTCCTGCAGCTGCTGCTGCTGCTGGACCAACGCTGCGAGATCTTGCTGGGTCAGCATGATGGGGATGGTGGTGGTTTGGTCTCCAGTAGCGTCACCTTCATCTGAAGATGCATAAAAATTACCATAATCTCTGGACTATAAGTCGCTACTTTTTTTCACAAACTTTGAACAACGCAGCTTATACAATGTTGCGGCTAATTTGTGGATTTGTATATATTTTTTGGTTTATTTTGTTTTTTGACGAGCTTTATGCCGCCAAAACAGTCAGCCTCGTTACACCCGGGAGCTCACATAGCTGCCCGAAACACGTCTCTGTTGGGGGGCGGGTTCTCATGACTCCGTGAGACTACCTGTATAAATAAAGGTTAAAAAAAAACGCCCAATGAAGTTCAGGTCACAGTCACAGTGGACCGATGAAAAACTCGTCCCCTCCCTGAGGGCGTTTCCCTCCTCGATGTAAACAATGAAGTATTTCCAGCCACTCAAAATAAATGTGAATTGTAAATCAAATTAAATCTCAAATTTGCTTTGAGACAAAAATGACGTTGAGAGCGACAACAAAACAGAGACTAAAGACGCGAGTGATGAAATTTTTCTGAGGCCGTTCAATAAGGACACTGAAGAAGACGACTTCAGTGGTTTTAGTGCACAGGAAGAAGATTAAGATAATGATCAATGACATCCTGGTAGGCTACTGTATTTATTTATTTATTTTAAACAGCCATGTTACTGGCACTGTTCAGGAAAAAACATTTACTGCACGTATTTGTGTACGTTACTGGTACATATTTAATTAAGTTGAAAAAAATCTTTCAGTGTAAATCTCTCATGTTACAACGTGGACACTCATGGCTTATACACAAGTGCGGCCTATATATGTGCAAAATTGGTTTTCTTTTTAAATTTAGTGGGCACAGCTTATATTCAAGTGCGCTCAATAGTCCAGAAATTACAGTAAGTGTTAAGTCAAGCAATAATGTAGTAAATGCATAAACTTCTGATTTTTTTCTCCCCCTCAATCATTTTGACCATCCCCCCAATCTCGACCTGTATAGATGCTTTAGATCATGTGCGTGCACTCACTCATTACAGCTTGCTGAGCCGCTTGGAGAACAGCCTGGATGGCGAGGGCCTGGGCTTCTTCAGTGGCAGCTGCCTGAGCAGCAGCTTCGGCTGCAGCAGTCACAGCCAGTTCTTCATCAGACAGTCCGGTCACCATCAGAGTGGCTCCCTGACCCTCAGACATCAGCTCTGAAGGCAGGTTCAAGGCTGTTGCAGCTGCTGCTTCTCCCTGAAAGAACAAAAAACAAGTCCCATCAAAGGATCGGGAAAATAAAACCTGCTCATCTTGGGAGGAAGTTCAGGACAGGAAGAGGAAGTGTTAGCTTTGTGTAACATCACTCACCTCTGCTTGTGTCTCCATAGCTGCTGTTGGCTCCTCAGCAGGTGCAGGTTCTCCTGCTGCAGCCTCATCCGTTTGCATTGGTTCTTCTGTGGAGCTGGCAGCAGTACTCACCCCCTCTGTGATTGATGAAATTGACTGCAGAGAGAGAAAAAACACATTTTTAAAAAAGAAGTTTAATTTCCCCTCATGCATAGTTGCAGCCTTTAAACTTAGCTGCACAGAAACCAATACAGACAAACATGCTGGAATGGTACTAAACCAGCTGCTAAGCCTGAGAAGAGCCGTGTTTGCTTACAGGAACTGAAGGCCCCGGGGCCGGTGTGGACTGAGTGACAGTGGTGATGGCTCTGCCTTGAGTGGTGGCGGCCATGACAGTTGCTGCAGTGGTAGAAGCTACTTCTGTGCTGCTGGTTCCTTCTGCTTCTTCTTCGGTCTGCTGGGCAGCTGCAAAAAACACAAAAATAGGATTAATGTTTGACGTCCAACAAAATATTGCTCTTCTTCATTTTAACCACTGGAATTGACCATGAGGTAAAAGGTTTAACAGATTCATTAGACTGATTTCCTGAAAAGTTAGGTGGAAACAGAACATGATTCTACAAACGAGCTCAGAAATTCTCATTTATTCCCGATCAATTAAACAGCCAACTTATTCTGTTTGGGTACTGAAATTATAGAACTTGAATCAATTGTCACATCTAAAAGCTGCATGTCAGAGGTCAGAGCCCTACGCAGAAACTGAGCGGACCACGTTTATTATTCATCTGAGTTGGTACGGTCAGTGGATGCTCACTGGTTGAATTTTATGCAGTGATGGAGAGCTGATGATTTCAGCTAAAACCTGCTTGTACTGACAGTGTGACCAACTTTACTAGACTGCAGGGATCAGCAGGTACAGCACTGGAAGTTTATCGTAGACAAATGGGTCTCCAGCGTTACGTACCTGTTCCTTCACCTGTCTCCATGCTGCAGGTAGCAGTGGTGGCAGTGTTGGTGGTCCCAGTCTCATGCGTTTCGCATGGTGGGTTGGAGCAAACCCTCTGGACCAGGCCTGTTGCGGTGTTGGTCTGATCCCCTCCCATGTTGGAGGTGGCTGTGGACGGAGTGTTGGTGGTCCCCGTTTCGTGGGTTTCACAGGGTGGGTTAGAGCGAGCACTCTGCACGGTGCCCGTCTCCTCTGTATTCATGTTGGATGAAGCTTGTGTGGCTGTGTTGGTGGTACCTGTCACATGGGTCTCACACGGTGGGTTTGAACACACCTGCTGGACTCCACCCATGTTAGATGAAGCTGTAGTAGCTGTGTTAGTTGTCCCCGTTTCATGAGTCTCACACGGGGGGTTGGAGCAGACCTGTCCTCCTCCAATGGTGGCAGAGGAGGT